GTTCTGTAAGCCTTCACCTGAAGTATAATAAGAAAAAAAAAAAGGAAAAAAGAGAGAAAAGAAAACAAAAGTAATAAAAACAAAAACAAAAACAAAAAAACAGAGATCCCACCATGCAGCTGCTCAGAATGGGGAAGTAGCTCCTAAGCCATGCAGTACAGCCCAACTAGAAAGGGTTCCCAAGTCAAGAAAAGAAAAAGAAAACAAACAGAACAAATCAAAACAAACAGGAAAAGTGTCATAGAACCCACCAGTGGGACAGGATGGGCCGGGAAGCAGCTCCACAGTCAATCAGTGTTTCACAGAATTTCAAGAAGAAACAAAGTTGGCACATGGAGCCAAGTATTTAAGAGAAATGAGGAAGAGGTGGTGAAAGGTATGGAAGAAACCAAAAGAAGTGGAAAAAAGTAACACCAGCAACAAACAAATAGCACTCAGGGAGACAGCCATTGTGGGCAGGTAGAATCCAAGTGGCAGAGAGCTGAAGCCTGTGCCTCCCAGCCAAGAGATTGTGGCGACAGGAAGCAGAGGAGGCCAAGCGGGGGTGAAGAAAGGTGGAAGATGGGAAAGCGTATATCTCTGGTTACCAGTTGTTCTGTCTCCTGCTGGGAGCTCTGTGAAGCTGCTTTCCCGTACTTCCTGTTTTCTGATCTCTGACAGGACTCCAAGATGACAAATCTGTGCTGCATTAGCTGATTGGGGACCTCTGTATGTATCTCTCCTCGCTCGCTGTTCTATGTCAGTTTCTTATTCCATTTGGTGCTTGGCTGAGTTCTTTATCTCTTCATTTGATGCTTAGGTTTCCAGGATTGACGTTTGTCTCTGTTTGACTTAGTTTTTCAGGTCTTTGCTGTGGCGGGATGGCGTGGTGCTTTTGTCTGTAGCACCATGTTGCCTGGAAGTCCTCTGCCATCTATTGGTATTTTATTTTGCCTCATTTTTAATGTTTTATTATGTCACTCATTAGGATTTGACAATGGCTTCTAGTAGGGCATACACATTTATTCTTAAATATATTCCTAAGGCACAATATATAATTTGCTTCAATCATGAATGGAATCTTTTTGTCATTATATTTCATGGATTCATATTATTGTTATCTAAGAAATATTTAGGGTACCGAGTAGCGCAAACAACTAAGTGCTCATCTACTAACTTAAAGGTTGGCAGTTCGAATCCACCAAGAGACTCCACAAAAGAAAACCCTGCTAATCTGCTTCTAAAAGGTCACAGCCGGTGAAAAACTTAGGAGCACTGTGCTACTCTGCAGCACATGGGATTGCCATGAGTCACAATCAACTTGAAGACAACTTGTAAGAAAAACTTATAATTTTTTTCTAAAATATGATGTTGAATAAAGATTTATCAAACATATAACTCATTTGAAAGCAGGGGGGATTATCCAATAGGCAAGGTAAGCACGGTGCTTACTTTGCTTACTAGACCTCTGTATTGAACAATTTCACGTATTCTCACCACATCAAAGATTCTGCTGCTAGTTATGGCTGGCATCTGTTTCTCCCAATCCCATAGCACCTTTCTACAGAATCAAAGCCTTTTTTCAAATTTACATTCCCTTAGAGTGTCAGATGACCCAGTGATCAAGGTAAGCATGGGCTTACTTGTGCTAACTCACTAATCTGTAGTGAAAACTTTCATGAGTAGTCAAAGATGTAATGAAACCCATGTGAAACTGTTCACTACAGATGATTTGGCAAGCACAGTAAGCACCGTACTTTCCTTGTCTATTGAATAATCCACCCTGCTTGAGAGAAACGAACGTCTTCACAAGATTTATGCCCTTGGCTATTTTCAAAATGAACAGCTAACATTGTATCTAACTGTGATTGTTAAGGTTGTTTGCCATTTTGGCTGGGCCATGATTCTCAGTGGTTTGGAAGTTATGGTGTAGTTTGGCAGTCATATGGTGATGTGATCACTTCCATGATAAGATTTGATATAACGTGATCACCTTCATGATGGGATATGCTGTGAGTAGCCAATCAGTTGAAAGAGAGTTTCCTTGGGGGTGTGGCCTGCATCCAATATAAATGGACTTTCTGACAAGGCTCATGAGCTTTTGCTCACTCTGGATCCTGCAGCTGGCTCCTGTTCATCTGACCTCCGGTTCTTTGACTTGAGCTAGCTGCTTACTTGCCATCTTGCCTGCCAATCTTGTGAGCCAGGTAAAAATATCTTCCTACTCTCTGATACTGTTTATCTGAGTATGATCATCATGACTCATTTTCAAGAAATGAATTAAAATAAAACCAAAGACCTAATCTAGGATTTAAATCCTATTTTATCTTATTTATGCTCTTAGTAAGCTTCAAAAATTGAATGAAAATTCTATCATTGTCCTTGGATTACAAAAGAAACAGGGAGTAAGACAGAGAGAGAGATATCAGGGTATGTTTTTTTGTCCTTTAGAATATAGAGATATGAGAACATCATAACTAATACCTTTCTACATCCCCAGGGTATAAAAGAACTCTGGTTCAAGTTGGGCATTCAGTATAATCTCAAGGTTTCAACGTCTGACACTCAGCAATCTCCAGTTTCCAAAAAGAGTAGTACATATTCTTTGTCTCATGGGAATTCTTTCTTTATTGATAAAATTTTGTGTATATTCAACAATTATTTTCTCATATTTCTTATCTAGCTCATGTCCTCATGATGTATCATATCTTTTTTCAGTCAAGCAGCCTCTTGGCTAAGAGGGTGAGCAGACTGCAGAAAATAATAAAAGTCATGACAAGAGACAGAGTCCACTCATTTCTGCAAAGTTAATGTGGGCAAAGGACGATGAAAAGACTGCATCAAAATAAAGGATACTCAAAACATTTTCACGTTAATTTGGAATTAGCAAGGGCTGGGTTTTCTATATTTATACAATACAAATTTTTTGAAAAAATCTTTTTCCCAGGAAATTATCAAACAAGGATGTATCTGGCACTGATGAGGATTCACAAGGCTTTCTGTGGATGAATGAAAGACTCCAGAAATTTAGCTTTCCTGTGTGAAACGTCACTGTCACTGACCCAAACCCTATGGTTTTGCCCAGGCCCTGCTCTTTTCCCCACAAACGTTCCACAAAGAGCATTACTTAAGCATGTACTCTGTATTTGTTTCTTTTGGGGGGATTTACTATTAGACTCTTAATTGTAGGAATCCTGGGAGACCTGAGGAATATATATAGCCGAGACTTCCCATGCATGACGACCCTAAGTTAGAAACACATTATACCATTCTACATCTAACAGCTGCACTATTACAGTACTATTTCTCTTACTTAATGATGAAGGAACAGCTAAGACTGAAAGAATTTTGGTAACAACCACCAAAATTTATACAACAGTATATTTCACACAAAGATAAAATTGTACATTTGTGTTTTAGTTTGGATCACAACTATCAGCAAAGTCTGAAGTAAATCTTGATTGGGTTGATGAGCATCAGTTGCAGCGTTTAAATGAAATGTTAATTGTTGTTGATGAAAATGATAAAGTTATTGGTGCCGGTACCAAGAGGAATTGCCATCTGAATGAAAACACTGAGAAAGGTAGTATGGAAATGTATTCTTTGTCTATTTTACAAGATTTTTATCCTTTTTATCCCAACCTGACTGAGAAGAAGAGGGGAAAAACTTCAGGATTTTCTCATGAGGGGAGACCTCCAATCATCTTATGCTCTTGTTGCTTGCCATCTTTAGGAGAAGATTCAGGAAGGGTTCATCTTAAATCTTTTTGTTTTGAGCTTGAATTTGTCCTCAAGTTTTCATTACCTGGCGATCATGAAGTACCAGTCTGGGCATCTAGCATGTATTAACCTTTCCTCTGCACAGGAGCCATATCATAGGTTTTCAGCTGTAGTGATTTTCTGTGAGACAGAGACCCAGGTCAGAAAGACAAGTAAATCATTACACTGGCTCCATATTTGTAGGTTCATATAATTTGGCATTTATTTTTTCAGGACTGTTGCACTGAGCCTTCAATGTTGTCTTGTTCAACACAGAGAATAAAGTCTTGATATAGCAGAGATCAGACACAAAATTTACTTTTCCTGGTGAGTCCATTCAACTGTACTATAATTTAAGAGAAAATGTCCATGTGATTTGACCTGGAAGTATCTGGGACATAAATTATCTGCATTGCCATTGTGTAGCTCTCACTTTAGTCAACAGTTCATCCCTGAGGAAATAAACAGTATAGACAGACACTTAAAAAAAAGAAAAGAAAACGAAACCAGTCACTGTCAATTCAATTCAGATGTATGTGACATCGTGTGTGTCAGAGTTGAACTATGCTCCTTACGATTTTCAATGGCTTCTTCTTCAGAAGATCATCAGCTCTTTCTGTGGTACATGTGGGTGAACTTGAATCCCCAAACTTTTGATTACAAGTCAAGTACAGACTAGGTCTGATCTAAGGATTTAGAGATTAGAATAAATAACATTTAGTATATAATTAAGGAGATATGACAAAAATGATTATTCTACAATCCATGTCTCCGGGTTTTATATTTCTCTGCATTTCCCAAAATCAGGAGAGAATGAGTAGGTTAGGAACAGTCACTTTTAAGGAAAAAAAGCATTTATATCAACTCTAATCATTTTAAGCTTTTTTTTTTTTTTTTTTTTGCATGGAGTGGCCTCAATTTTTCAAAACCATGCCTTGCCTGACACATTAAAAGTGGATAGGACCTGGCATAGAAGACTCTGGCAATAAAAAAACTCTTCTTAGTTCCTCTTCATTTGAGGTTCTGCTGCTCAAAGAAGGTTTCAGCATCTGAAGAGTGAGATGGGAAGGAAAGATAGTCAAAGAAGAGAGTGGCTCCCCCCCAACCCCAGCATCGTAAATAGTATTGCTATTACTTAGGTAAAGTGATTAGTACCTTTCATTAAGAAAACTTTCTCAAAGATATTATACCTGAAATTCTTTCTGTAAAACTATATTCATTAAACAAGATCATCCTTCTTTCTGAATGTGACTCCTGTCTCCTCAACTCCACCTCAAAACCTACACAAAAACACACCTCACACACACACACGCTCTTCTTCCTCCTTAGGATATATTAGATACTTGGAGCCCTGTGGTTAAGAGCTAGGCTGCTATCCAAAAGGTCGGTATTTGAATCCACCAGCCGCTCCTTTGACACTCTATGGGGCAGTTGTACTCTGTCCTATAGAGTTGCTATGAGTTGGAATCAACTGGACAGCAACGGTTTTGTTTTTTTTTTGGGGGGGTGGGGGGTTCCTTGTGTATAAATATGTATGAGTCCTGGTCCCTGTCCCAAGACATAATTGGACACTATAACAAGACATATACATGAGAAATTAACTTCCAATCGATGGATCTACATTAAGTATCAGATGAACAGTAAGGGTAATCCATTCTTAAAAATATCATTATACTCATCTTGTCAGGTAAAACCAGGTGTATGTGTGTCAGAGTAGAACTGTGGTCCATAAGGTTTTCAATGGCTGATTTTTCAGAAGTTGATCACTGTGCCTTTCTTCTGGGGCTCATTGGCACAGGCTGGAACCTCGAAACTTTTGGTTAGTAGCTGACTTCATTAACCATTTGCACCACCCTGGGACTCCTAAGGAGCCCTGGTGGCACAGTGGTTAAAGTAATCAACTGCTAACCGAAAGGTTGGTTGTTCTAAACCACCAGTGGCTCTGTTGGAGAAAAATGTGGCAGTCTGCTCCCATAGAGATTTACAGTCTTGGAAACTTCATGAGGTCACTATGAGTTGGATGGCAGTGGGTTTTGTTTTTTTTTTTTTGATGGAGGGGAGGAGCTCTTGTCTTATCAGGTACTTTTCCCAAACTCCCACAGCCCATAAAAGCCACAGAGCCAATATCTGCACAGTACACTCAGAGTAAACCCTTGCTCTTTCTTCTCAACCAGACTATGTTACAGATAATTTTGTTTTTACCTGAAGGGCCTGTGTTCGTACTTAATATATTCAGTCTTCAAAGAGAAAGGCTTTCCATGTGCATTCTCTCAAGTATATTTCACTGAGTCTTGCTCTAGTCATCCTTTATACAACCCACTGAAAATGGAAGAGCAAGATGCCATTGGAGTCAGGAGAGCAGCTCAGAGACGGCTGCAGGCTCCCCCAGAGCAGGTACTCAATATCCGCCCAGTGTCCACTGTGCCAATGATGAATCCAATGAGTGACATTCGGTGAAAGCTGGACATGAGTTCAGTGACTGGATTTGTGTTGTTGGCCTCATAAAGGCAGTGTTATAAATAGGAGATTTGTACATTGTAAATTTTTTGTTAGTTTTAGATATAGTTGAGATTATTTAGGAGTCTGGGTTTCTATAAAACATTGAAGAAAGAAGAGATTGAAATTTCAGTCTAACAGAAAGTCTAGAGTTTTTTTTTACCTTTATCCATTAAAGAAAATAATTGAGAAAGAATGGATATTTTCTCGACAGAGATGGTTAGTTTATATTGGGCGAGGGGACAGTTCTTTAATGTATGACACACACAAACTGAAATAAAAGAAATTCAAAACCAGATTATTATTTAGTCTTGAATCTACAAGTTTAGCTAGATAGAGTTAAGGTCTAGATAATTAACTCTTTTGATTGAAAATATATATGTTTATTTTCTCTACTTTGCCTATACATTCTATATTTTCAACATTAGCATTGTTAATTAACACTGCGTCAATTTTTTTTTTTTTTTTTTGGCTTTAACAAAGAGAAATTTATTCTCTTATAGTTTCAGAGGGTGCCAGCTCCAGCGAAAGGCTTTCTCTCTCTGTCAGTTCTCGGGGAAGGTTCTTGTCATCAATCTTCCCCTGGTCTGGGAGTGTCTCAGCACAGGGACCCTGGGTCCAAAGATGTATTCCGCTCCCAGCTCTGCTTTCTTAGTGGTAGAAGGTCTCATTGTCTCTCTGCTTGATTCTCTCTTTTACATCTCAAAAGAGATTGACTCAAGATACAACCTAATCCTGTAGATTCACTCCTGTCTCATTAACATAACTGCCTCTAATCCTGCCTCATTGGCATCATAGAGGTTAGGATTTACAACAATAGGATAATCACATCAGATCACAAAATGGTGGACAACCACACAATACTGGTAATCATGGCCTAGCAAGTTGACACATATTTTGGGGGGACACAATTTAATCCATGACATCTCCCTCATTTCTCCACTCCCTTTTACTGCAGAACTTCTAAAATGAGTGGACTAGAATCAGTGTTGCTAATTCTCCCCTCCCATTTTCTCTTCCATCTACTTCAATCAACTTTTGCTCCTACCACTCCAGCAAAATTCATCCTGGAAAGAGCTCTGAGGACTTTCTCCTTGATAAATCAAATGGTATATTCCCAGTCCTCATCTTATTTAACCTATAAGTAGCATTTAAAACTGGTAATCCTTCAATACTTCTAGAAATATTTTCTTAACAGAGCTCCCAAAACGTACACTCTGCTGGTTTGAGCCTATAGTCTTCTTTCTTGTTCTTCCTTTATTCTTATCCACTGAACATGGGAATGTCCCAGGACTACTCCTTACTATCCTGATTTCACTCACTCTTTTGATTATCTCATTCAATCTCATGACTTAAATCTACATGCCAACAACACAAAATTTATATGCAGAGACTTGGCCTCTCCCTTGAACTCCAGGTTCATATATCCAAGAGGGTCCTCAACACCTCTACTTGAATAGTTTAGATAGTTTAATGTTGTTTTGTTCGGAGCTGCCAAGTTGATTCAACTCATAGCGACCTCATGTGACAGAGTAGAACCGTCCCATACAGTTTTCTAGGCTGTAATCTTTATGGGAGTAGATAGCGAGGTCTTCTTTCATGGAGCTGCTGGGTAGGTTTGAACTGCCAACCTTTTTGTTAGCAGTCGAGAGGTTAACCGTTGTGCCACCAGGCCTCTTTGGATAGTTTAAAACGTATCCCAAAATTAGAAAAAAAAGAATTCAGTCTCTTAATCCTTTGCCTCCCCAGTTAATAACATTCCCATACCAGATGCTTAGACCAAAAACAAAGGTAATTGAATTCTCTTGTTTCTATCTTCGAAATGTAAACATAGAACAACTTTTCACCATCTCCACTGCTACCACCCTGGTCCAAACTACAAATATCTCTTGTTTATTTTTTAAAATAACTTTCTAGCTTATATCCCTGCTCCTATCAGTGCTTTTCTAAAGTCTACTCTAATACAGAAGCTAGAGCGATCTTTTTAAAACATGTCTGACTATGTCACTCCACTGCTTAATAGCTTGCAATGGCTGTTCATCTCTTTAAGAGTAGAAGTCAAGTCCTTACAATGGCTCATAAAGCCCTGGATTATTTGAACCCTCATAACTTCTCTGATTTTTCTGCTATTATTCACTCCATGCTCACTCTTCTCCAGCTACACAGGATTCTTTGTGCCAGGATACTTGTCCTCTTATCTACCTGGCTTGCTTTCTCACCTCTTCAGGTATTTGCTCACAAGCTGCCATTTCAATGAGACCAATTTACCAACCTTATTATAACTGCAAAATACAGCATCTACCAAGGCACAACAATTGGTCTCTACTCACCTGGTGCAACAGAGGAAGAAGGAGAGTCAGGAATAAGAGTAGGAAATGGAATGTGTGACTGATTACCTCCATGAACAACTGCCTCCTTTGCTATGAGACCTGAAGAACTGGATGGTACCCAGCTACCATTACTGGACATATTGATCAAAGATTCTATACAAGAATCCTGATCAAAAGAGGGAAAATGCAGACCAGAATTTCAAATTCTCATGGATTCCAAACTTGCTGGAGCCATGGAGCCTGGATAAACCCCTGAAACTATTACCCTGAGATAATCTTTAAAACTTAAACCAAAAATATCCCCTAACGTCTACTTAAAACCAGAAAATAGTTCAGTCAAACTAGTGAAAAATGTCTGCATGAACATGTGCTCTTTTAAGATCTATCTATATGGGATGAAATTGACAACAGCAACTCAAAGATTATATAGGAACCGTGGGAGCAGTGAGTTTACCTTAACTGGGGAGGAACAACTCAGAAAATGAGGGTGAGAGTGTTGCACAACTCAAAGAATATAATCAATGTTACTGAAATGTACATGTAGAAACTGTCTAATTTGTGTGTTTTGCTGTTTTTTTAAATTTTATTTTTTCCCATACAAAAATTTATACATACATTGTTATGTGACCCTAGTTGCTCTCCCCATACTGTAACAGCACACTCCTCCTTTCCACCCCTGATTCCCCACGTCCATTCAACCAGCTCCTAACCCTCTCTGCCTTCCCATCTCACCTCCAGAAAGAAGCCACCTGTTTAGTCTCTTGTATCTACTTGAGCTAAGAGGCACACTCCTCACAAGTATCACTTTATGCCCCACAGTCCAGTCCAATCCCTGTCTGAAGAGTTGGCCTGAGAAATTGTTTTAGTTCTGGGCTGATAAAGAATCCAGGGGCCATACTTTCCAAGGTTCCTCCAGTCTCAGCCAGACCATTAAGTCTGGTCTTCTTACTAGAATTTGAGTTCTACACCCCACCTTTCTCCTGCTCCAGCTGGGACTCTCTGTTGTGTTCCTTGTCAGGGAAGTCATTGGTGGTAGCCAGGCACCATCTAGTTCTTCTGGTCTCAGGCTGATGAAGTCTCTGGTTTATGTGGCCCTTTCTGTCTCTTGGGCTAATACTTTCCTTGTGTCTTTGTTGTTCTTCATTCCCTTTATTCCAGGTGGTTGGGACCAATTGATGCATCTTAGACGGCCACTTGCAAGCTTTTTTTTTTTTTTTTTTAAATTGTACTTCAGGTGAAGGTTTACAGAACAAATAGTTTCTCATTAAACAGTAGTACACATATTGTTTTATGACATTGGTTAACAACCCCACAACATCTCAACCCTCTCCCTGCTCGAACATTTTTTTTTTGTGGTGAAAATATACATAGCCAAAGATACACCATTTCAAAAATTTCTACATGCACAGTTCAGTGACATCAACTACGATCTTCCAATTGTGCTGCTATTCTCTCTTTAGATGAAGGCTTACAGAACAAAATAGTTTCTCATTTAACAGTTAGTACACATGTTGCCCTATGACAATAGTTGACAACCTCACTACATGTTGACACTGTCCTTACTCAACCTTGGGTTCCCTATTACCAGCTTTCCTGTCCCCTTCTGCCTGCTAGTCCTTGTCCCTGGACTGCTGTGCTTCATTAGTCTCGTTTTGTTTTATGGGGCTGTCCAATCCCCAGCTGAACAGTGAACCACGGAAGTGACTTCACCTCTGAGCTAAAAGAGTGTCTGGGGGTCACACTCTCGGGGTTTCTCCAGTGTCTTTTAGGCCAGTAAATCTGGTCTTTTTTGTGTGTGTGTTAGAATTTTGTTCTATATCCTTCTCCAGCTCTGTCCAGAACCCTCTGTTGTAACACTGTGTCAATTTTTGTCATAGATTTCTCTAGAAGACATTTTTTTTATGACAATATATCATCACAAGGCAAGATCAGATAAAATTTGGGGAGAATATGAAGTTTGTTATCTTCTGCTTATGAGAAAGAATATCCCTGTGAATCCAGGTCCCAGTGAAACAAGACATTTCTGCTACATGACCAAAGAGGAGTTACCGGAGTTGCTGGAAAGGGGAGCCAGGAGAGAAGTCACAGTTGCCCTGTGGCTGAGAACCATCGCAGAGAAGTTTCTGTGTAAGTGGTGGCCTCATTTAGATGAAGTAACCCAGTTTGTTGAGCTTGATAAAATACACAGAGTGTGAGGAGCATGAATGATGAGAATTAGCCAGAAACACTACACCCAAACAGAAAATGCTGTGTTTTCACTGCAGGCAAACATGACACACAATTGCCTGGTAATTATACACCTTTACCAAAGGAAAAGAAAGAAAGAAAGAAAAACCTGATTGCTAATAATCTACAAATCACGTATTTTTAATCTTTTAATCTACTCTGTTATCCTATTTTTTTCCTTTTTCTCATTTATATACTTTCCATGTCTGGTTTTGAAGAGGAAATTTAATGTTTCCCCTTACACAATTTTCATCTTATATGCAGTTGGCCAGTTAGCAGTAGCTGATCCTGAAAGACCTGGTGTAGGGTTCTTGAGAGGACTGGAATTAGTTATACTAGACTATTAGGTGAACCGTGATCCTAGTTATTCAATGACGCTATCCAAACTCCCAGAGAGTCATAAAGGGATTTCTCTGCATGATTATTGCTACTTTTTAAAGCATCATTTATTTCAGAGTACAAAACAAAGTTTATTTTTAAGAAATACACGTTCAATCTTGTATCTTAAGACTTGGCCATATGCATTTTAGTTCATCTCTAAAATGGGTTCATGTTTACATATGTTATATTCTAAGTACAAACGACACAGGAAATGTATATGATCTCAACCAGGTGTCTCTACATTCATCCACTTTTGTTCTTGCAGTTGGCTTATATCTCCACAATCCGCTTGTAAACAAAGGCAGTTTTGCTTTTAAAAATTACTCTATTTTTTAGCACAAAGTGATTATACATTTTTAAATTAGACCTGAGTGCACACTATTGGGAAAGAAATTATGTTTTAAAACCAGACTTGGTAATGTAGTGAAACTGCCGCCTGCCTTGGATAATAAACCCCTGGAGATTTCCGTTCTTCAAACTTAGATGTTATTTTGTTGTTTGTGGATGAAAGAAAAATGAGCTTTTGATTCTTATTTCTAGTAAGCATAGATAAATCTTATTAGAATATTATTTTACAATCTAATGAAATTTAAACTTATAATAGCTTTTTACTTAATACTAGTGTTAAATTGCCACTGTTCACTTTTAGCAGGTAATGAATCATTCTTTATGTAAAAATTAAATGCCTCAGTAGAAAGATCACTACATATTGAAAGTGTTTTCTTTAGCAGAAAATGTCTTCAGTTTTAAATGAATTTTATTTTATCTTTAGGTTTTATAACATTGATTTAATTAAATCCATAGCTTATTCTCTTCAAAGTAACTCAATTTTCCTATGAGAAATATTAAAATAAAATACATACATACACTTGCTTCTCAAGATTTTGAAAGGCATATTAAACCAACCAAAACCAAACCCAAGGCCGCTGAGTTGATTCCAACTCATAGTGACCCTATAGGACAGGGTAGAACAGGGCTATAATGTTTCCAAGGCATGGCTGGTGAACTCGAACGGCTGACCTGAGCTTTTAATCACCGTGCCACCAGGGCTCCAAAAGACATATTATATACCAGCAAATGTGAGCCTTGGGAAAAAAATGGAACGTTCTTAAAATGCACAATCAAAGCCAACAGAAGAATAAGTAGAAAATTTGAATAGTCCTATAGTTATTAAAGAAATTGAATCTGTATTTTCTAACTTTGCTGACAAAAGAAACTGTGTACTTGTGTAATTCCCAGTGAGATGAAATGATATTCCTGCTATGATTCTAACTTCCTTGTATCCTACTATAAAGCTAAATAAATGTAGTATTAGATTAAAACTTATCTGTGTCTCTTGAATCTGATTGTGCCTCATGAATCAGTAATCACAGAAGTGATACTGCACCTGCCATCATTATTTCATTCAACATCACACCAGAAGTTCTTCCATTAACACGATAAATGAATAAAATTTTATAAAGACTATAAAGAAGAACTACAACTATATTTTCTGACAATATGGCTACGTATGTAAAAAATTAAAACTACAGATTATTGTTAGCAATAATAAGTGAATTTAATAAGGTTGCTCAATACAAGTTCAATATACAAAAATCACATGTATTTGACAACTTACTTGAAATGGACCAATTCCTCAAAAAGCACAGCTCAGTAAATATGAAATAAATACTTTGCATAAGTGCTATACCTATTAGAGAAATTGAATTTGTAATTTAAACACTCCCAAAAAATAAACATACAGGGCCTGATGGTCTCAATGGAGAATTCTACCAAACATTTAAAGTAAGAACATCAATTCTACAATCTCTTCTAGAAATTAGAAGAGAGCGCTTTCTAATTCATTTTATGAGGCCAGTATTACCTTGATACCAAAATCAGAAGAAAAAAAAAAAGTCCCCAAAAAAAGAACTATGGACCTCTATCCCTCATGAATAAAGATCCTTAGCAAAATATTAGCAAACAGAATTTAGATGTGTATATAGTTAATATACACCATGACCAAACAGGGTTTTCCAGGAATGCGAGGCTGGCTCAATACTCAAAAATCAATTAATGTAATCTACCATATTGGCAGAAGAAAAACACATGAGCATATAAATTGATGCAGAAAAAGCAGTTGACCATTTTTAAAACCCGTTCATTATAAAACCTCTCAGAAAACTAGGAATAGAGGATAACTTCCTCAACTTAATAAAGAACATCTACAAAAAACCTACATAATGGTGAAAGACTCAATGCTTTCTCCTTAAAATTGGCAACTAGGCAGGGATGTCCACTATCACCAGTGCTATTCAACATAGTATTGGAAGTACAATAGGCAAGAAAAGCACATAAAAGCCATGGAGATCAGAAAGAAAGAAATAAAACTGATTTCTCTCTAGGAATGATGTGCAATTTCCACGTTTGGGTTTACTGTAATTGCTCTCTTGGATTCAATTCCACTAATTTTCACATTTACTGCCTTCCTCCTTCTTGGCTTACTACCATATTCTGCTGGACTGCATCCTCAAGAAACTACCTAGAAAAAAAAAATAAATATATGAGTCCTTCTATATCTGACACTATTTTGATTGAGTGTCTTCGTTTCCTAGTGTTGCTGTGACAGAAATACTACAGTGGGTGTTCTTAAAAAACAGAAAGTTATTTCTCGCAGTTCAGGAGGCAAGAAGCCCATATTCAGGATGTAGCTCTAGGAGGAGGTCCTTTCTTGTCTTTTTCAGCTTCTGGTAGCTGCCAGCAGTCCTTGGAGTTCCTAGGCTTGGAGTAGATTCATCTACCTCAATCGTCATCAGGTAGAGTCTGTCTCCCCCCATGTGCTTGCATTTGTGTCTAATCTGCTCTTTTATAACACAAAAATGATTAGGTTTAAGAAACACCTCACACTAATATGGCCTCATGAACATAATGTATGGGGTTAGGATTCCAACACAGATTTGTAGGGGGGACACATTTCAATCCATAACAATTAAATATTTGGCAGGGAATCCAATTTCAAGTAGAATATAATTTTCATTTAAAATTTAGATTGCATTGCTCCACTGTGGTTATCAAGAGCAGTCAGATTTTTACTACATGTAGAATAGTTGTTATTTCTCTCTGGAAATTTTTAGGATCTCCTTTTTCTCTTGACATTCTGACATTTTCCTGTTTTTTATTTTGTTTTGTTTTACATTCTGATATTCTGAAATTTTGTGATGCTATACCTAGGTACAGGATACTTTATTTCATTTTGTTGGCACTCTCTGGACTCTTTCAAGACTTGTAGTTTTCTTCAGCTATGTGAAAGTCTATTATGTTTTTGATAATTTACTCCCTGTGATTTTCTAAAATATGAATATAAATTAGATGAATGATGGAACGTTCCTATATATATTTTTCTTACTTTGAATTTTTTCTTTGTAACTTGGCAAATTTTCCTGACTTCATTATCCTAATTTCCTAATACAAATTAGAACTTGGAATGATAGTGGAGAGAGGAGTGAGTAAGCTAATATTCTCAGCTTTCAAAATGTAAATTCACGAAAAAAGGCGCAGAAACAAAGCAACTTTTTTCCAGTGAATAAAGAAAATGTGATACATACATACAATGTTATATTATTCAGTCATAAGAGGAATGAAGTTCTGATGCATGCTGCAACATGGACAAACTTTGAAAACACTATTTTAAGTGAAATAAGCCAGACACAAAAGGACAAATGTATGATTTCACTTATAGGAAATAACTGTTGTTGTTGTCGTTAGGTGCTGTCAAGTTGCTTCTGACTCGTAGTAATCCTATGTACAAAAGAACGAAACACTGCACGGTCCTGCGCCATCCTCACTATCGTTGTTATGCTTGAGCCCATTGTTACAGCCACTGTGTCAATCCATCACATTGAGGGTCTTACTCTTTTTGCTGATCCTCTACTTTACCAAGTGAGATGTCCTTTTCCAGGGACTGGTCACTCCTGATAACATGACAAAAGTATGTGAGATGAAGACATGCTTGGAATGCTTCTAAGGAGTATTCTGGCTGTACTTCCAAGACAGATTAGTTCATTGTTTTGGCAGTCCATACTATGTTTAATTTTCTTCTCCAACACCATAATTCAAAGGCATCAATTCTTCTTTGGCCTTCCTAATTCGTTGCCCAGCTTTCACATGCATATGAGGCCATTGAAAAAACCATGGCTTGGGTCAGGTGCACCTTAGTCTTCAAGGTGACATCTTTACTTTTTAATACTTTAAAGGGGTCTTTTGCAGCAGAGTTGCCCAATGCAATGCGTTGTTTGATTTCTATCTCTCACTCTATTTTAAATTGTGCTTTAGTTGAAAGCTTACAGCTCAAGTTTATTTCTCATACAAAAATTTACACACATATTGTCTTGTGACATTAGTTGCAATCCCCACAATGTGACCGCACACTCCCCCTTTCCACCCTGCATTCCCTGTGTCTATTCAACCAGTTCTAGTCCCTTCCTTCTCATCCTACCTCTGGACAGGAGCCGCCCATTTAGTCTCCTGTATCTGATTGAACTAAGAAACACACTACTCACATGTATTATTTTTTCTTTTATACTCCTGTCTAATCTTTGTCTGAAGAGTG